CTGGGAACAATCAAATCGCTCATTTGGGAATTCGACGGGATCTGTGGTGATTTTAAGGCCAAGAGTGTCTTTAGCAAAGGTGTCTTCAGCATGTATTTAGCAGTATTTGAAGCTCCTTAACAGCTCATTTGGCTCAATTCAATTTCGATCTGTTAGCGATAAGTTTGAATGGTGTTTGGGTACACAATCACTGGTCACAGCATATTCAACCGCATGTTTAAATCAAGACTGGAGACCCTGAGAAACTTGACCATGTCTCTCTGCGGTTGAATCAGGGCTTTAGTCCAAATTGCCATTTGCAAAAATGCAACTATCGATAGATCAATTAATCCCTTGATCAACAATTCTTAGAAACAATCTGCTTCTAAGAATCAGTTGTACAGAAAAGTAATAACATGCATTGAAGTAAACTATAATAAATGCTCTCTTAGCAACAACAGAAATTTCACTAAATCATACGTGAAATTGATTCGGAAATTCTTTACTCGTTGAGCCATTTATAGGATTTCGTCAATTTATGTTTTAATTTGTGAAGTTGCGCTTAAAAATTCAAATATTCTAAGAAGGCANNNNGAAGTTGCGCTTAAAAATTCAAATTTTCTAAGAAGGCACTGCAATGAGATTATGCCAATGTACGGGAAATCGTTGCACTGAACAATGGATGATGCACGATCAGCCGAGAGAGGATACGACACTGGAAAGGAATTATCTGTTGACTGCATTAGTGATCGTCGTCGCTTATTGGTATATTATGGGTTGTACCATTTGCTTGATACTATCGACTATTTGTCGACCAACAAGCAAAGAAAGTAGACGACGGCGAGCACTCACCACTAGTCCATCCATATTAATATGTTTCCTCGCGGTCATCAAGGTATGCATATGCATCTGACCGTTAAAATCAAATCAAACAAGCTTTATTGCACCAGTTTTTTTTTTGCCTAAAAATTTCAAAATTTTGCTGATAAGTCAACTAAAGATCATTGATACAAAATGCTGATGAAACAAAAATTTGATATTTCCAGATTGTCTTTGGAATAACAATTCTCATATTCACTTTCATGTCGGGATCGCTTAAGTGCAAAACATTCGAAACTTTGGCATTCGTCTCAAACCAAAGTCTCGCCTTATTCCATATTGCTGAATCAGACCCGTTGATGACGCTGGCCGCTATGGCACTGCAATCGTTACCATTCATTCATATTCCCTTCATGTTGTTGACCATTTCCAATGAGGTTTCTTCGTTACTGAAATATTTGCTTCGTTTCTATTCGTATCCTTTCGCTTGCCTCTTACAATATCTGATTCGTTCATAAAGCATCAGAGCATAATTTTGCACCGTATTGACGACGTCGCTGATGGATGGTTTCACTGCGGCAATAACAATCGTAGTTCAGTTTGCGAATGTGAATGCAGCTACGGCCAGATGCATCAAGATATGGCTGTATGTGAATGAGCTGATCATCACGATCGCATATGGGTGCACAGCGATTGCAACCGATCAACAACTTTCCGATTTCAACAAATCCATTAGTGCACTTTGTGTGTTGGATTCAAAATATTGGAGGGTTTGTTGATCCAATCGAATTTTCCAAGCATTCTTATCTCGTTGCATTTCTTAGACGATTATTCAAATACGTGAGCAGATCGGACCTACTTAACCAAGTGTTTTCATATCACATGCAAATGTCAACAAATGGCTACTTAACTGTTTTGCAATTTATACAAATGTTTTCGCAAAATGCTTCCCAAATATTCCGATCGTCAGCACCGCATTGCATTCCAAGCAAATTTCTAAGATGGTTTGTAGCGTGTGCTTGTCACGGGGATTTTAATTTGCGATGTTTTTAGTCGCAGTGAGTTCAGAGCTCACTGTTTGTTTACTGCTCGCGTTGCTCTCAATCAAAATGACGAACAACCTCGCATTTGAACAATGTGAGACATTTGAACGTTTGATGATCACTCGAAATACTTAAGTGATACATTGTATAGGTTGGACTAGCGTGCACCTACTGCATGAGTGCCATTTGCCCATTGTCGGTGTTTGTGTCGTTTGCAAGAGACTGCAGAATAAGTAGGAATCGAAAGCGTGTTGCTAATCAAAAGCGCGAAGCCACATTCTCTGAATCATGCGAAACAGCCGAGAGTACCTCAAGCTTTCCACTTAAAACCGCAATCGAGCCTGACGATGATGAATACACGGCCGAGGTCTACATAACACCTGAGGTGATTCTCTTTCGTTTCTTTTTAACCGATATTATCCCAAATCTTTACTTTATTGTGAAATTTTTTGATCACAAGTCATGAAAACGTCAACCGTTTGATTGGTTAGGATTTGGTACTTATAAGCCAATTGAACTATTCATTAAAAGACTGAACGCATGTTAATGCGTAGTGTCGTCGTCGCCTTAATACGATTACGATGATAATTTCAAGGGAAATCAATGGTTGCTCGATTGTCTGCGATTGTTTTGAATGATTACCGTAGAATTCGAATGGCAAATATGAATTTGCCACACTTTATGAAATGCATCCATATCAAAACGCAGTTTTAGTGATTGCTCATGAATTTCAGCCCCTCGTCCTAAATAGGAAATGCGGTGGAACGTTGCACCTTCGAAATTTACGTTCAACTCAATGGGTTGCGTTACGCATTCTGATGAGTTGTGTGGACATAAACGTTTACCCTCATGAATTTCTTATACCGCCTGGTCGCACTGCATCGGTTCGTATTTGGAAGCTAATTCAGCTTTTTTCAAAAGTTATTTTGTTGGCAAAATTAAGCGAGTGAGAATGTGAGAATAAAATTTCTCAATTGTGATCTGAAGTAAAGTCTGTCTTTGTCATATCATCCGGCAATCCAATCAATTCAACAAATATCATCTACTAATGACTATTGGGAGCAATGTGAAATCCTTGTTGGAGAGATGATAATCAGTAACAAATTGATGATGCTAGTAGAGAAATCGAGCCCTCAGAAAGCTTTCATTTCAATAGGCCGATGTGAGCGTATCACCAGAAGCAACATTCGAAAAGAAATGTAATCTACTCTGCCAGTGGTTCTTGGCTGGCTCTGAATGCCCTCCTTGCAACTCGAAAATGATTTGGAGAAGACCCTATCGAGCACCACGAAATCGTTGGTCGCATCGATTTATCGACGTATATTTCGAGTCTGGTCAGTGAAATATTCATTCTACCTTGCTTTACAGTTTTGAACATAGTGGCCTTGTTATACTTTTGAGAATTTTTTCTCAACAAAAATGTTCGCTTGCGTGATAAATGGAGCTTTTGAATTTTCTTTAAGATTGTACACGTTCGAGCGGAAGCAAGGATGAAGAGGTCACCAACAGCAATACCAACGATGATAAATAATGTCCCTTGAAACTGTTTTCAAAAAACATTTATTAATAATCGTTCATCGAATATCGTTCACACAGGCCTTAACGAATCGTTTTCATTTTTCAACATCTCTATAATCACTGCACATGCGTAGACAATTTTTCTCGATCGGGAACACCATTTCAATCACTAGAAAATTGCTGTTCACGACTTTGCAGTTCAAAATGTCGCTGAGCCCCGAACCCCAGTGTTACACTGAGCCAGAAAAGTGGGCATATGATCACTAGTGTGTCCGTGCCTCTTGTCTACACATGTGAATATCTTATGGCTTAACATAATAATAAATCATCGAAAATATATCACAGCTCATTGCAATAAATCACGAATATCACTGAAAATAACAAGCGATAAAGAGAACCGTCTAGAAGGGAGCATACGGCATGTGTGGTGAATAGGGCATTCCTCCAGGAAATCCACCGAAATATGGAGGAGCTGCGCCGCCATAACCAAAATCTGAAAACAAAATCTTTGTTAGCATAAAAATTCTCCATCAAATAATTACATCGTTTAATTGACAACGTAAAAAAGAAGTATCAATTGGTTTAAAAGTTCTTCTGAATAAGTTGAACGCTACGGGCGATCTGAGTGAGATTAAACGTAACTAAGCAGGTGATTGACGATGATATTCACATGTGAAACTGTTTTCTAATTTAAATCCTTGGTATTTTGTCTATATCCTTAGTATCTAGCCCAAAAAATGGTATTTTCATCAGGATGGAAACAGCACATATACTGTTACCTATTGAAAATGGCACCGAAAATTTGACGAATGTATAGGGTAAGGATTAAATCACGATAAAATTTCACAACGTACTACTCATGTAAGCGTTCGGCATGCCCATTCCAAATCGGTTATAACGTTCGCTCATCAGCCGATTTCTGTACCTGCCCGATCGACCAGAAGATCCGTAACCCATCATCGCGTATGGATCATACCAGAGTTGCGCATGCACTGAGTGCAGCCCAACAATTAATGCAAGCAGAAGGATTTTCGAGTTCATTTCGTTTCGCTGAAACGGTTTTTGCGTTTGGAAGCTCGAAAATCACAACAAAACGACTATGATCAGTCGTGATCAAAGGCAAATAACTCATGCTCACAACCGAAAACCACTGAAAAACTGTGTTCACTCAGAAACTTGGAGATGAATTGAGGTCGTTGAAGTGATGATTCTTATTTATACCTGAACGTTGACAGAATTTGGGTCAGTCTCATTGTCTAATCATTCACGCAAAATTGCTCTTCTTGAATGGACGACGTGTGATAATTGAATCAAGTATAATTTTGTCAATTTGAGTAGATTTTTGAGTTGACGAATGCATTCGTTTGAATTTTAGCAAATGTTCATTGTATTCTCAAGATTTGAGGACGAAATTATGCCGAAATATGTCAACGACACAATTNCTAATGAATTCTATAAAATCCTTTCGATAAATTTTTTCAAGTTCATTTTTTTCGAATCCAATCAACGGACTGCCTAGTGGAAGAGTTTCAAAAAAAATGTCCTTCTTTTTGTTGGATACTATCAAATCTGTAACAACAACGAGTTTCGAACAAATTCTTCATTGTTTTCAAACGTATTCGTTGGACTAAAACACAACTTTTTGAAGGATTTCATCGTATCTGCTGCATAAAAACAAAATCCATATCAAATCTGAAAGTTTTTCAGCAACAAAGTTGATAGTTCAGAAAAAGTTTTGATCACGATTCATATTAGACAGTGTTTTCTTCAATATTGTAGAGATCAGATGGAAATTTTCGATCAAACTTTCATTTAAGTCGAATGTTGATTATGTCTTTTAAGTGCACATGCCCAAAGAATCTACATCTCATTTTAGTTGAGCAATGAATCTTACTATTAGACAAATTGCCTGAAGAGATGTAGTAAGAAACGTCGGAAGTGTTTATCCAAACTGCAAAGATTTAGATTCTTGAGCATAACCCAGTTTACCCTCAAGATGGATATCGTTGACGGTATTTTTGCCCGCTCAAGTTAATCTCTGCAGCATAGCAAACACATAAGATTTCATCTTTTAGCAGTGGATATCTCGAAATCATCAATCACAACTGACTAGAGAACGGTGTTGCTGCACCCAATTCGCTTGTCATTTCAACGTTTACAATCCTTGTAGTTTATGTGCCCTTTTATCATTTGTTATTCACTTACTTGCTTATAAATAATTTCCGTTTACTAAGGTGTAATATGTGGAATGTAAATAACGTAAATGATCTTTCACTCTTCACAATTTTATTTTCGCTAACAAGTAGAGTCCTAAGTGAATTCTAATGATGAGTTCCGTTTTAACCAATTCAATCCTTAAAACCTCTATAAACATCTTTTATAATCACTTCTTTCGTTGCTTATTGAAATTAATAGGAACAACATTCTTTACCCATCTTAAGTGAAGGGAACATGCTCCAACGATGCTATTTACACCCTTATGATGGCATTCGTTGAAAACGCACACGTTCTGTGACAGTGTTTGTTTGAAATTTTTGAACCATCAGAAGCAGATCAAGTTTATGCTCCCCAATAGTTTTCCTCTCCAGTGCACGATATTGCCCGCTATTGTACTGAACGTTGATTATTGTGAATTCAAATCAATTTGATGAAACAGTAATGCATATTTGAGATTTACCAGCGGTTTTCAATGGACATCTGATCCGTGCACTCTTTCTATAGTATGCTGTGATTCGAATATTTCTCGTGTTTCGGTATAAAGATCCAGCGTACAAAATGGCATCGCCAGGCTTATCGTCTAAAATTATTAACGGTTGCCTGTGCCTATTCAAACATTCCAAAGCGCTTATCAATGCTTATCATTTCAAAGCGCTTATGAATGCGAGGAAATTTTTAAAATTAGGTTCGTGCATTCAATTCGATTAATCATAACGTTTTTAGCTCATGTGAGCATAATTTAATTGCAAGCTTTTTTTTTTCTGATGATCCAGTTTGATTTGATAAATGTTAACACGATGATTGATTGCGATTNACTCAACATTCATTTTCGATGATGTCACTTACCTAAGAGACCTTGCTACTTTAGCTGTTACTATCTCTGAATCTGTTTCAATGGTTTTTGTTGCGTAATAAGTGTAATGTGTTGTGAAAAGAGAATAGGCGAGAACACACCTAGAAAATACGTTAATTAGGTAGTAATTAGAGAGATTATTATTCTGGAAGAAATTGTACTATTCATTGTGCTCACAAAGGGGAACATGTTTGAATGAAGATCAGTTGAGCTAGCTCAGGTAAGGCGTTAAGAGGCATTGATGACGGACGAAGGGCTCATAAACGAAAAGACTAGAGATACTGATGATGATCAAATACTGTGATTAGATGATCAGATGAATAGATCCGAGAACACGTGAATAATCCATGATGCTTTAGCGTTGCCAATTACCTGTCCGTCGTTGTAATTGCGTTGTTTGCCCAGCAGATATTTTATGCGCATCGAGGCCGAATGCCAATGCTCTCTAGACTTTCTCTGATGACCGCGGGTCAACGTTGTTGACAGTGATGGCCGACCTGTTGACATGTGTGAATCTTGAGTGTTCTGTCCTGCAAGAGTCTCTCTCAGAAATACGCCACAGCTGAGACGTCAAGAGAGCCGAAGTTTTGGTGTGAATATTGGATGATTAAGATGGTTGTACGAAAATGTGATTTGCTCAAATAGCGTATGCCATATATTTGGACATCCAAAAGAAATAGCGCATGTCCAAATGGCGTCTGATAACAATAACATTGTTGATGACCTTCGCGTTTGAGCCGTAAACAAACTGGCTGATCGGACGAAAGACAACAGTATATAAAGCGGATTCGGTCATTGATGAAACACTGTGTCCATTTTATTTGTATATTTGCCGTGTATGTTCGTGTGCTCGAATGACAATTCGGTGTGTTTGATCAAAGACGAATGTTTAAAGATAATGCCTGCATATAAGAATGTTAACGATATGTGATACAATAGCGATGTGAGTACTTTCATTGAAATGTAATATAATTTCTTAATGTACAGAATTTTGATGAGTTTATGAACGCAATTACTGTCAAATACAATCCTATGAACAGTGGGAATGTTATTAATGATGCAATTTTAAGTTTGAATGCGTTGTTTCATGCAGACCAATTCAATTCATTCGTCGCTTATAGTGAAACTTTATATTAGCACAATAGTAATGTTAGATGGATGACCTTTTAGATATTCAAGTGTTCATTATACCTTTATTTTGTAATAGTAATTCCTCTGCAGATACTTCGTTTCTCATCGTTGGTAGTGAAGTCGGTCTATATTGCTTAATGCATTCACTGTTTGACCATTCGTGAAGCTGACCGTATCCTGCTTCATGTGGAATCATTGTTGATTCGTTCACTTGTAAATGTCAGCAATTGATGAAAAGGGGTCAAATAAAAGATCATCACAAGAAACATTCAATGCATCACACATGATATATGATACAGCTGTAAATAGCACATATATATAACTTTTTTAACTGCGAATTTTCCCAAAGAATCTCAGTTGATCAAGGTTTTGAAATCTTTTCGAATTCGCGTAACACTGGATTTGAACTGTCAAGGCCGTGTTCCCAAAAGGCTATGCGTTCTCCGAACGAAACAGCAGCGGATAAATTGTCAGCCTTCTACTTTCTAGGATTATAAGCAAGCGCCTTTGAAATCGGTGAGCAAAGGAGTGGCAAGCATGCTCACTGACCCAGGAAAGATGTACACATGAACTGATCTAAATAGCATGCGGCTAAAGCAATGTGAGGTCGAAAAAATAATACGAGTAGAACTTTCCTATAGTAGAAGGGGGTTCGATCCTTTCGTCAAACATCATAGAGACCCGAAGAAATTTGTGTGCTACAATCTGATTGCACGAATGATACTGTATGACAAAGAGCTCAAATCATTTTTTGTAAACGCTCTATGCACGTACTGTATACAATTTGATACCGTAACTTTTGATTTGTGTGCTTATTGCAATCTTATTAAACGAACCAAACGAAATTACCGTACTTCTACGAACATTAGCAGTGTTCCATTTAAATGGTTATATGATGATAATATCCTTTGGTGTACTATAATAAAATCATTTTTCACTTGATTCAACCAATTTTTTGAGTGTGTATGTGATAAAACAGAACAGCAAAGACAATCACTATCATGGAGCCATGTAGTTAAAGTACGAATTTGTATACCAAACGTAACAAAGGTTTTTTTAAGCATGACTGATTCACTTGCAGATTACAACCGTGCAAAAACCATGTTGGCTCGTACTGAAGCAATCGTGAATACGTTCTTGAAACATGGATACAAAGGGTAAGTTTTGCTGGAGTGTGATGTGCGAGGCCCATTTCGTTTGTTCTCATTGAGTAATGTTGTTGTGTGGTCACGAAATAAACTCATTTATTATTATTATCCGTTCGATGCTTAACATATATCTTTGACTTAACATCCGCATTTGAAACAGTTCAAAGAGACGCATCATGATGCATCTTGAAGGGTGCTTGAAAACGTTTGAGATAAAAACCATCACCAACTAGTATGACGAACTTAGAGAACGGTTCAGAGAAGCTTTGATACTGTCTCGGAAAATGTTAGGTCGTAACCAACCCTGCATGCACCATCCGCTTGAAACTTCATTTTAAGCCTACGTTTGTCTACCTCCAAGTTTTTGTCGGACTCCATCTGCTGAAAGTTTATCTTATCCGCCTTCTCTGTTGAGATTCCCAGTCGCTTATAAGTGCATCAATCAAATCATTCGTATCATTTGAAACATTCTCAGACTGAATTGTTCTGTAGCAAGTGGTAATCTTCAAATGTTTGAGTGAATTCGTCATTTATTCTCTACAGAAACACGTGCGATTTCCCGCATCGCTTGGACTCGAATTCGTTTGCGAAAATTCTGAACGACATCGACACGTTCATCTTCGACGCTGATGGAGTGCTCTATCTCGGTGATACACCCATTCAAGGCTCTTCGAAATTTTTGGATTTCCTTCGCCAACAAGTAATTCAAAACGCTCTTCTTCAGCCGCTTTTAATTCCATCCAAACTGAACGCTAAGTTGAAAAACGCTCATCTTATTTGACAATGTATGAAAATACCTACCATCCAGAGCTGTACTGTGAATTCAGATTTGATGACAGATCACAACTAAAAAATCGCTTTTGAATCAACGCTTCGAAGTATATGCATTCAGAGCGAATTTCTTGATACATTCAATCATTTGATCGAATTAGAGCAATGTGGTCTGGTTTGATGTGAGCATATGAATATTTTCAGAATAAGCAAATTATTGTGCTAACAAACAACCCAAATAAGTCGCGCTCAATGATGGTCGCTAA